CATGATCGTTGCACAACCCGACAGTACTTAATTAACCAGATTAGATTGATATCGATACGTCAATACCGAGTCCTTCGATGTATCCGTCGAGAAATTATTTCCCGAACATAGTACTTTCCTTCTCTCTCTCTCTCCAACTCTTCTCTTTCTCCTTTCCCCTTCCTTACTTTTTCTCTTTTACGGTATAACCGGTGTTCCCTAAGCGCGGTGCTTATAATTAACTATTTCACGGGGGTATTAATAAAATTATCGAGGGCGTATGACGATGATTTATTGATCAGCAGAGGAGGCATACTGGATACGTGTTGCAGCGCGGCGTGCTGTTCGCTTGCAGAAGGTGTCGGTGTTAATTTATTGTCACACGCTACGTGACAAAATATTGGACACCCCTTGATTCTCGGTGTTCCCCGATAATGGTGCACTCTTTTACATCGGCAAGATTTGTTTTTACCATTCTACAGGGCTTCTGGTGTTCTGTGAAATACTGATGTATCCAATGAATTTGGATACTCTTCTTCAATTGTCATAAAAAAATATTCAATTAAATAGTTATTTTAAAATTGCACGAGATAAATGGAAGTTAACATTTCTGTTATAATTATATGAAATAGTAAAATTATATTATATTATTTATGAAAGCATTATTTAGTAAAATTTATTTATCCATGTTTCGCGTGGTACTTTGTTATTTAGAATTGTTGTATATTCGGGGATGATCCACTATTTCGCTGCAGAGTGTAGACACGATTAGTATCTCGACGGTCGATTTGTCGGCCTTGACACTGATCGAATTATTTAAACGGGCGAATTTTCGTGGAGGCACTGCGCATCTAATTTAGATGGCGTGAGTTCGAAGCTGGAATTGACCTCCTTCCGCCCTAATTCTAATGCCTTAGTCGTGACGTCGATCACTAGGAACAAGCACGGTTCCGTGCAATCATGGTTGCATGGATATCTGTGGTACGATGACACTGGAAACAACAATATTGGCTTTCGAATATCGGTCAGGCGATTTCTTGTCAGAAAGGCAGTTAGGCCTTACACGAGAGTGGCGACCAATTGGGACAGCTTATGAACCCCTATCGCTTGAAAACTAAAACAGAGAAATGCTGCAAAAGCTGTTCCTATTTTTATTGTAAGCGTATAATACTCTCTGGTCCATTCATTTACTTTGTTTTAATGTGTCTTTTCTGTTAAGCATTTATTTAATCGTTCACTTATACCTCTATGATTTTTTATCGTCTTTCTTTAAGTTTAATCCTTTATATCCTAAGGTATCTTAAAATATTTTAACTGCACTATCCATTTTTAATTTTTGTTTTTGGTGCTTTAGGCGGTTATCTAATTTTATTTGAAGTATTGTTTCACATATTTATTATTCAATGATTATGAAATATCTGTATGTACAATTACCACGGGATTAAAACTATTAAAATATTACGCATAAAAACAGTAATAAAGCGATTTTTCAAGTTTTAAACATATAAATTGATCAATAGCTCGAATAACTTGTTTTCCTCTAGCCGGTTATGACGGGGTTTCTACTTTCCTACATAGATAAACATTCGATGGCGCAATAACGGTATAATATGGCGGTCGTTTTAGAGATGTGTGCAAATTACAGTCACTCATAAACTTTTCCGCATATAAAGCGTCGCGTCGCTTCGTTTTAGCACAGTATTCCTCTTTGGGAACTGATGCTCCTAGTTCAAATAATTGGCACAGGTGGTTTTTCTTTATTCGATATTTTCGTGAAAGATCTATTTTTCATTCGTTGCGAGCCATAGTTGTGCGAATAGGACCAAATGAGAACCTAAATTGAGCGAACGAGATGGAACAAGCTAGAATAGGATCTCTAAGCAATCAAATATGCGCAAAATCGTATTTGGTTTTCCATAATTGTGTTGCTGGTCCCGGTTTGAGATGGAAAATACTGCATAGAAATCAACAAATCAACATGTATATTTTCCGAACTATATGTACTTTCTCACAGAGCTCTCTAAACTTGTTCCGTTTCATTTTCCAGGCGATTCTATTCAGTCATCAGAGAGTAATATAACTTTTGTGATACAATATTCGTTTATTGTAGCATATGCAGGTAGTTTTACAATTCAGTTGGGTCAAGTTATAACTCGATTGCACTAGGAGATGGAAAACTTTATTAGGCAAAATTAGTGTGTCGTGTGATGCACGTTTCTGTCTTGAACATGAAATACCGAAGATTTTTCAACATTTAGAGATATAGATTAAGGTTTAACAAAAGAAACGTTACGATTTCGGGTTTATCTTCAAATTATTGAGTTGTCTTTGTACAGCACTGTCCGCGCTCACACTGACCTGCCTCACGCGCGCCACTATTGACGGGTCACACAGTTCACAGAGGTTTTTCATAACTCAGAAAAGAAGGTCAAACCGCAATTCTTTTATTTTTGACTTGTATTGTTACAGAGAATCATCTCTTAAATACTTTTTCACCTGTTGCCGAAAATCTTGTACCCCTCATTGGATGCAAATTACCCAGGAAAAAGTACCGAGGCACGTGTGTCAAAAACTAATTAACGTAAAAGACATTTTATTATCCTCCGTTAATAGATTAGAACGGATTTAATCTTTCCGAAATGAAAAAAACTTAATAGAAATATATATTGCAAATTATATTTAATATCAGTCTCTTACTTTTTTCCCTCCAAATTCATAACATTGAGAATTTGCATAACGTTACAGTCTTTTTGAAAATAATTAAACTATATTCACGTTAGAATGGAATCCTACTCAGACGTTTTGTACACAAATAAACGGAAGGAATCACGATAAAATCATTGACTGGCAATGCATTTCATTCGCCGAACAATTTTTACTTGACCCGTTGCAGAAAGAAGCTTCGGCGAACACGCGTTGCGTCGCCGCGACCGCTGACTCTTGGAGCAGTTGAACGAGCTTACGCGCGCGGATGAGAAACCTAAACGCAATCTTGTTAGTGAACTTTGTATTCTATTAGTGACCGACAACAAGCGATGTGGGTACTTACGGACAGTTGGCGGCGGTGAAAGGGTGTAATTGAGCGTCCTCGAAAAGCTTTCGGGTTCACGTGCTCGATAAAAGGCCGTACGCTCATGTCCGTTTCATTATTTCTGGATCGGGTCGTGGAGATACGTATTCCCCGCCTATCTTATCGCGCGTTGATCGTCGGTAGTTGCTCGCCGCTGTTTCTGGGAGACATTAACACCGCGATATTCCCGCGATCAATAGGCAGCATCGCTCCTACCTGGCATCGGAACGGGCCACCATCGTCGGAAAATAATGCTCGATTATTTGCTTTCATCGTGTGCACGAATCAATTCCTAGACGTTAACGTTTCCTACAACGGACAGCACGGAAACGCGCGTTGTCTATAGCCAATGGTAATGCACGCTGCTCGAGCTAATAGAAAATCGACGTTACACCTGACGATGTTCTTCGACCTACTTTTTCACCGATGCTAAAGGGAAAATGGAAAGCAGGAAAAGCTCATAAATACTTGGCTTCATTCGATATTTGATTAAAAGTTGAAACATCACCCTTCTACGTTATATTGACGACGGTAATCGAATGATAACGATGAACAAGTTTTTCGCTGCATTTGCAGGTTGCAGTTCGTAAATGCAATTTGCGCGCTGCGGATGTGTCCTGCTAGAACTTGAACCTTTCGTCTCGATAATAACATTATAGCTATTTTAAAAAGGAAAGCTTCCCTCGTAAAAGGTATACTTATAAATCGTGTTATAACTTTATATATCGAAGGTGAAGAGAAATTCCAGTTCGCGCAGTGCAGCCAGCAAAGTGTGCTCTGACTGTTATGACTTTCGATACGGCACGACTTATAACATCGTTGATTTTCCTCGAATTAACTTGCGGATTGGAGAAAATATTATTCTCTTCACCTCTAATGAAACCGAAAGTTTAAAGTATAAAGATTTCTCGCTTAGCATTCCATCGTGAATCAACCGTAAAATCTACGAATCAATCTTTCTCGAGCGTTAATTAATTCATCAAATTTTCCGGGGGCATGTATTCTCACGTAGCGCGTGTTTTCAACGTGAGTTAATTAGATCATCTTTTCCCCGGTTTCGCTAGCAACGTGTACTCTATCTTGTTGGCAGAAAATTATAACGACCCCTTGACACCGTACACCCCCGTTTACGCTGGGAAGGTTCCATGACCTAGGAAGTAACGCCGTGCATTACGTTATAATTTATTGCTATCGGAATAGCTCCCGGTGTCGAGAATAAGACACCGACGCGCCTCATCGTGTAGTTGTTCAGTGCAAAGCCGTGGGGAGGCGACCCTAAAGAGTTCTCATATATTTGAAAGATGAAAGCTCGCTACGTCAGTGCACAACCCCCGGGCAAGACTCGGCTTAGCCCGATATCGATTCGCACGTTGCCTTCGTTTCACCTGGACCGGTAGATTTATCTGGTGAGCATTTCCTGAAATATACAGGGCGGGGGCAGGTAAGCGAAACACCTGAACTATCTTACCGCGTTTGTTGATGGAAAAAAATCTATTCAATCAATAATGTCGCTTTGTTTCAAAGGAGATATAATCTGACATTAATAAATCTCTTGTAGGTGAAAGTGTGGAATATGTGGAGTATGCTTTTATACATGAAAGGTTATTCATTTTTTTATATATCTCTAATGGAATTTCTAAAATGCACATTGACCTATGGTGCACGTTCGTTGTTTTATTGCTGCTCTAATTTCAACATTCGACTAAATATTCTTATTGCCATCTGTGTTCCTTGAAATTAGTAGGTATTCTTTTAATACTTTTAGTACAAACGCTTACCATCGGGAGACACTCGTAAACTCGACGGGAAAATTTAATTAAGTATTTCCACGTGCGCTTATTCTTGTTTTTCTGCGTTTGAAGATATTGAAATTCTACGAATTATTTCTCTAAAAAAATGTATCTCAAGTAACTGCGATTAATTATTGAATGTATATTTAATTATTTTTCAGCCTGGTAGACGATAGATGCGTGGTATGTCCCGAAGCAGGAGATTTGTCAACTCCGCCAAAGAAATTCAGAGGTAACTTTTACATTTAATTTTGCATCTCCGCTAAAGTAATTCGATTTTAATTGAACTCAGTATTCAAACAGTATCTGCGTTTGGGAAGATTAATTATTAATTTTTCGAAATTATTCTTTAAACTTCGTTTTACAAATATCTTCGATAATTAAGAGAAAATTGGATTTTGTCGTGCTTCCTAGATTGCCTCTTCAAAATATGTCCTATGAACCGTTATTCCGCCCAGAAGCAATTTTGGAAGGCTGCAAAGCAGAGTGCGAGCGGTACGGATGCTGTACTGCTCAAAAGGCTTCACGTGAGTTCATTTTGTATGGAATTAGAGCTTGCAATTCATGTATCATTTAGTATAAAAGAATCATTATTGAAACTCATTAACATGAACGCTTTACATATTATCATTAATCGAACTAATACGGTCAGGACTTAAAGATTTTTATATTAAATTTATTGGACGGAATGTTTAACAAATTTTCTGAAAGTAAAAGATTTTGTAAATTTTGATTCGAAAGTACCTTTATTTCTTCGACGCTACTATAACAGTTTTTAAACATTTTCAGCACGCCGCCGAAATAGAAAAAAAGCAAAATGAGACTGAAAATAAGAAATTGCTGGGCAGTGTTGTCTCTTATGGTAATGTCGTTCAGGTAAGATCATCTTGTTTTTCTAACATTTTTCTGTATTTTTACTTTGCCCTAGATACCCGAAGTAAATTAATTTACCTTGTGCTTCACGCCCAAGAAGGTCATTTAAGCTTTACACATCAAGGACAGTGCCTTTTACGCAAACGACATTTACCCCTTCTTTGCATCATGGAAAAGTCTAACACGAAAACAGTTTCGACAAATTATTGATGTATTACGTTGTTCATTATAAAGAAAACTAAGTTCCATAAAATGAAGTACCTGTTTTGTATTTTTGAAACTTTTCCTAACATAAATTGATCAACTTCAGTTCTGCAATTTTATATTACTCCATGGTAATTCAGGGAAGTTCTTGAGCCGTCTTGAAAAGAACAAGGGACGTGGTAATCCATCGAAGTGAAGTCCGAGTAGAAAAGATGTTGAAGAGTTACTTATGCAAGATAATCGTCACAGTGCTGAACTGAAATCTTTGTTAATATTCGTGACACCAAAACTTTCAAAGCAATTTTAATACAAAAAACATGTACCATTTATTTTTATAAATGAATTTACTACAGAGGTCTAATTTCCTCCTTGTTTATTGTTTATCGTAATAACAGCGAAGACCGCACGATAAGCAGTCGTCAATTAATGAAGTGTACTTCCTTCCTGCTATCGTCATTGCTAAGCTGTTGCGAAAGCAGGGGTTTTGCTTTTAAACACGCCTTATCCATCGCAAAACTGTGCCTTTTAATTGCATATTATTTTAAGTATATGATCAAATTATTAATCACATTGGTGGTATCATTGTCAACAAGGGAGAGAACAACGTTACGATTAAATGATAGTTGGTTCTATGTATTCTGCAGAAGCGAAAGATCCTCCCTAGCAACAGAAGAGGCTGCGAACGCCATTAGTCGGTTCATTAACGTGATCCAATCATGCAGCGGAGGTGTCTCTTACTGGAATATCAGGCTACTTCGTTACATTTCACTTTGTCAGTGAATTATGGCCTACTTAAAAGTTAACTTATTTAACTTATTTAACTTATTTTTACGGCTCGATCTCGCTGTTTTTCTTCGTGGATTTTTGCTACCCCTTGTGCCTCTGGTTATTTCGGTTTCAATTCATTGATCAGCGTTGTCCAATTGAATTGTTGAGACCAAAAATTTCATGAGTCACTTTCTATGAATATTTGAGAAATAAATCTAGCACATCATATTTTAAAGGAAATAGATTTATTTAGTAATGACGTATTCAAGTTCTATCAAACTCTATCACAAATCCTTTCTATCATACTGAGTTGCTGTTCCTTAAGTTCAGTGAAAATATATAACGTCCTTCTCATCCCTTCCTAAGAGTCAAGCTAAAAGCTGTTACTGTATAACATATATCTTGTTTCAGCTGTTACATCTTAAGTCCAACAAATTCTTGACCGTGAACAAGAGGTTACCAGCTCTTCTCGAGAAGAACGCGATGAGAGTCTACTTGGACGCGAACGGGAACGAGGGTTCCTGGCTCTACATAATGCCCTTTTACAAGCTGCGCAGCGATGGCGATACCGTCGTTGTCGGCGATAAAGTGATTCTGGAACCGGTAAATGCCGGTAGACAGGGTCTACACGTTGCGGCCAATTACGAGCTAAGCGACAACCCAGGTTGCAAAGAGGTGAACGTCGTGAACACGGCCACGTCGTGGAAGGTAACGTTATTCATGGAGCATAGAGAGAATCAAGAAGAGATCTTGAAAGGCGGAGATGTGGTTCGGCTGTTCCATGCCGAGCAAGAAAAGTTCCTTACAATGGACGAGTATAAGAAGAAGCAGCATGTGTTTTTAAGGACCACTGGCAGGACCAGTGCCACTGCTGCCACAAGTAGCAAAGCTTTGTGGGAAGTTGAGGTGAGGAGATTTTTTCAAATTTAATTCCCTGATTGTCGAACTGAAAGAATTAAATGCTTATAGTATATGCTTACTACTTCTTGTCGAGATAATCAACTTTAAGCAGTTACCTAATATTTATATACTGCATTTCTATTCATAGTATTAATTGGATGGCATTGTACATGAATTTTTACAAGTTTTATTTGCATAAGTTCCTTGTGTTTGATTATTCATTATTGTTCTGCGCAGGTAGTGCAACATGATCCATGTAGAGGAGGCGCAGGTCACTGGAACTCGCTTTTTAGATTTAAACATTTAGCGACTGGCCAATACTTGGCGGCTGAAATTGACACCGACGAACTACGTGAAACTACAACAGGCAAGCGTGGTGAGATTGATAGACATGTATAAAGTACTAGTATAAGTACTATTAAATTTTGAAGATTGTACACGTCTTCGTAAAATTGTTTTATATTATATTGTTAAATCTATGTATCTCTGTAGATCCCCCAGGACCAGTATATAGATTGGTATCAGTTCCACATAGTAATGAAATCAGCTCCGTATTTGAATTAGACCCTACTACATTAACCAGAGGTGACAGTTTGGTACCTCAGTCATCTTTCGTTCGGTTACACCATTTATGTACAAATACATGGGTTCATTCAACGAGTGTACCCATCGATAAAGACGATGAAAAACCTGTTATGTCAAAGGTATTCTCTATTTGATACTGTAATGGTGTTATTTTTATTATTGTTATTATTATTATTATTATTATTATTATTTGTTTAAAACATACGACTTTTGTGTAAGGTGGGTTGCGCCATCAACAAAGAGGACAAGGAGGCGTTTGCTTTAAGATCTGTGTCACCTGTTGAAGTGCGAGATCTTGATTTTGCGAACGATGCCTGTAAAGTTTTAGCTTCAATAAGTGGTAAGCTAGAAAAAGGCACGATTTCGCATAACGAAAGACGAGCTGTAACTAGTCTACTGCAGGATATAGTGTACTTCATAGCCGGATTAGAGAATGAACAGAATAAATCTGAAGCTTTAGAGTTAATTGTTACTAATGCAGTAAGAGATCGACAGAAATTATTAAGAGAACAATATATACTCGGTCAATTGTTTAAAATACTTCAGGTATTACAATACTTTTTCTGATGTGACACTTATATTTTTCAATCGATTTAGAAAGTTTTGATTTGCAGGCTCCATTCTTAGAGTCTGCAGAAGGTGAGGGACCATTTCTTAGAATAGAGGAACTAAATGATCCTAGGCATGCACCGTACAAGTATATGTTTCGTTTGTGTTACCGAATCTTAAGACTTTCACAACAAGATTATAGAAAAAACCAGGTATTTCGTATTAATAGAGGATATAATTTTATTTTCGTATTAATGAGTCAGCTCATACATTTATTCTTATGACATAGGAATATATTGCTAAACACTTCGCGTTTATGCAAAAACAAATTGGATATGATATTCTAGCAGAAGATACCATCACTGCTCTCTTACATAATAATAGAAAACTATTGGAGAAACATATTACAGCTGCAGAAATTGAAACATTTGTGGGTCTTGTCAGAAAGAATATGCATAATTGGGAATCAAGATTTTTAGATTACTTGTCAGACTTATGTATTTCTAATAAGAAGGCGATAGCTGTAACGCAAGAGCTAATTTGCAAGAGTGTATTAAGCGAAAAGAATAAAGATATATTAATCGAAACTAGGTAAAATCAAAATATTTGTTTAAGTGATGCTTATATTTAACTGACACATATTGATATGTTACAAAATTTTTTAGAGTGATGAAAACTCAGGTTGAAGTGGAAGAACTTGATGAAAAGCAAGAAAACGGTGAACCACAAATCACTGTCGTGGAAGAACTTGAAGTATTTCTTTCATGGAATAATGGGACGGTTAGCATCTGTGTACATATATCAGAAGGTGCATTCATGTTAGTTTTTCCTATAAGTTTCTACTATATATAATATCTTTTATAGAAATCAATGTCTTTAAATGAATTATCAAGGGGAACAAAAATGGATAATGTTCAAGATGCAGCAATATTAGATTACTATAGACATCAATTGAATCTTTTTAGCAATATGTGTCTGAACAGACAGTATTTAGCTTTGAATAATTTATCACCACATTTAGATATTGGTCTTATACTCAAGTAAGTTAGATACGCGCTACTTTCAAGATGTCTGTTTTATCTAAGCTTATAAAAATTTCTTATGAAAACTTTAGGTGCATGGAAGATGAAACAGTACCATACGAATTGCGTGCATCATTTTGTCGTCTTATGTTACACCTTCATGTTGATAGAGATCCACAAGAACAAGTAACTCCAGTGAAGTATGCACGCCTATGGTCTGAGATTCCTTCTAAAATGAGTATCAATGAGTACGTGAAAATGCAAAACTGTGTAATATAATACATGAAATAACTGTATTCATTGAAAAAAATGTATGCAATGCGTTATTTTCATTTTAGTTATGACGCCAACAGAATGCGGGATCAAAATAAAGAAGTTGTCCGTGCTAAATTTAGTTCGACCATAATGTTTGTAGAAGATTATTTGTGCAACGTAGTTGCAAAAATGTGGTCTTTTGCAGATCAAGAACAAAATAAACTTACGTTTGAAGTAAGGAGATTAGCTTCTATGTTCAGTACACGTTGTTCTGCAAGAAATTAAGTTATTCTTTAAAATATTTTCAGGTTGTTAAACTGGCACGCGATTTAATTTATTTCGGATTCTATAGTTTTAGTGACCTGTTGAGACTAACCAAAACGTTGCTAAGTATTTTGGATTGTATTTCAGAAAATGACACACCGGACAGAAAAATTCCAACTGGTGATATTGATTGTAAGTTCCTAAATTATATCGAATACTAATATTTATTTGTACATACACTAATATCCTAAATACGTTCATAAGTGTACCCCTTCAAAAGCGCTAATATGTACCTTAAACATCATTTATGCACTATAAACTTCGTAGCATAGTATAGCTAAAAAAACTAATAAACGTATTAATTATGCACATATAAATGTAATTAACTTATTTGTTCTGAAAACTTGTAAAGCTGATTCTACGGATTCTAAAGAAACAGGTAATATATAAATACAAATGAATGGCAGTTACAGGTCCTTTACGAAATTATCTGAATCTTATGACTAAGTTCAATGTTTAATTTTTAATTCAGAGCATTCGATGTAGCATTACTTGTTCTACATTAATTTTATTAAGTGCATGATTACTTTCTTCCCTACACTTTCTACCTTATAAATGTATCTGTGTAAACATTTTATTACATTTTATGTATGCTTGATATCATTTTCATTTATTTCATTTATTGTCAACACCTTTATTTGATTCCTATTTATGTACCTACGTATAAAGTGATATAACAAGCTTAAAAGTGATATAACAAAATAAGTTACATATAATCATTACTGTGTAGCATATTAATAACATACTGAAAGATATTTCTTATTTTTTCAATAGCCGAAGGTGGAGTATTGAGATGTATTGGAGACATGGGAGCAGTAATGACAAGTTTAACATTGGGTTCAGCCGGGCAAGTGTTAGGCGGAAGTACCTCCCCTAGGCCGAAACCACTCTCACAGAAAGAATACCCGTTGGTGATGGATACAAAGTTGAAAATTATCGAAATCTTACAGTTCATTCTCGACGTTCGATTGGACTATAGGATTTCCTGTTTATTAAGCATTTTCAAGCAGGAATTTGATGAAACTGAAAGAGCTTCCGGTGACTTGAATCTTGGCCAAAAGACCATTGATTTAGAACTAATTGGAACACAAGCAGAGGGTATATTCGGAAGCAGGTAACACAGTGTTCATTGTTTTTATTATAATAATAAAGAAATATTTCATAAATTACGCGATATAGTGAGGAGTGTGCGGCACTAGATTTGGATGGTCAAGGTGGTAGGACATTTCTGCGTGTCTTGCTCCATTTGGCAATGCACGACTATCCCCCGTTAGTTTCTGGTGCATTACATTTGCTCTTTAGACATTTTAGTCAGAGACAAGAAGTTTTGCAAGCATTTAAACAAGTATGTTATGTTATTTTTATATTGCAGTTATAAAATTTAGCCTATCAGATATAAAAATTATAGAAGGCATCTCAATTATAAATAGGTACAGCTCTTAGTTTCTGACAGTGATGTTGAGTCATATAAACAAATTAAGTCAGATTTAGACGTTTTACGGCAGTCAGTTGAAAAATCTGAACTTTGGGTATACAAATCTAAAGCAGCAGAAGAACATGGCGGTAAAAAAAAGAAAAGTAAGGAAGAGGAAGATGATGGAGCTACTCCTCGGAAAACACCGCCTCAGTTATCAACATCGGACAAGAAAGGTAAGGATTGTATATTTGCATGAGTATGGATACCAAAAGAAAAAATATAAAGAGAGCAACTTATTTAAAAGATAATATCTGGAATTATAGGATCTGCAATAGATTTAGATATTGGACCTCCATTACATGCAGATCAAGCTGAAGAATATAAAAAAATACAACAGATTCTGATTCGCATGAACAAATTATGTATTCAAACGATAGGTGGTCAATTAAAACCACGAAAACACGAACAAAGACTTTTACGTAACGTTGGAGTACACACTGTTGTTTTAGACTTACTACAAGTTCCATATGATACCAAGGAAGATGTTAGAATGAATGAATTAATGCGATTGGCACATGACTTTCTGCAAAACTTTTGTTTAGGCAACCAACAAAATCAGGTTTTATTACACAAACAGTTAGATTTGTTTCTAAATCCTGGAATACGCGAAGCGCAAACAGTGTGTAGCATTTTCCAAGATAATTCTACTTTGTGTAATGAAGTAAGCGCTAAAGTTATACAGCATTTTGTGCATTGTATAGAAACTCATGGGAAGCATGTACAGTATCTAAAATTTCTTCAAACAATAGTAAAAGCTGAAAATCAGTTTATTAGAAAATGTCAGGAAATGGTGATGCAAGAAGTGAGTAATCCAGTATATCATTGTAGATATAAGTTACAAAGTATTTATTGTAAGCATTAATTTCCTAGATGGTTCAATCTGGTGAAGATGTTCTTGTCTTCTACAATGACAGAGCTTCCTTTAATCATTTTGTGGAAATGATGCGATCCGAAAGGCACAGAATGGATGAAAGCAGTCTACTAAAGTATATATATATTTATATATATATGTCTAGTACACAAATATTTTTACTTATTTGTATTATTCACTATACTGCACATATTATGTTATTATGAATTATAGGTATCATGTAGAATTAGTAAAATTGTTAGCTTGCTGTACAATGGGTAAAAATGTCAATACCGAAATTAAATGCCATAGTCTTTTACCTTTAGACGATATTGTTGCTATGGTATCACATCCAGATTGCATACCAGAAGTAAGTTTCACATTGATCAAGAATCTATTCTTACAAATAATATGTTTTTTAAAATTCATATATTCCTTAGGTTAAAGAAGCATATATCAATTTTCTCAACCATTGTTATATTGATACAGAAGTGGAAATGAAAGAAATTTACACATCAAATCACATGTGGTCATTATTTGAAAAATCTTTTATTGTAGACATGGGCTTAATAGCGACTGCGACACATGATCGTGAACACGCTGATACTTCTTTGGAAAATTATGTGACAGGTTGCCTAATGAATATCATTACGACGTTCTTTAGCAGTCCGTTTTCAGATCAGAGTACTACAGTGCAGGTATCGTATCTATTTATTACATTTATTTTACGTTTCATTTATAATTTACATTTTTTTAATACTGTTTTAATGAATACACACATTTCAACAAACTTACGGTGTAATCAGTACAAGCCTTTAACAAAAATGTTCGAATTAACGTTAATATTTGTGTGGTGGATATGGCACCTTCTTTGAGTATGTGAGCACATTAATACATAATACATGAATATTTATAGAAGTGGGAAAAGGCCATTCTCTTTTAAATGTATCTGTGTAATCTTAATCAAAGCACAGCTATTCATATTTTCACGTGATCTCATGTTTTATCGTTCATTATGCGAGAAACTTGTATTTTAAATTACATTATATTATATTAAATTTCAAACTGTGGCTACTACTTTTAATTTTTGCACGAAAATATACATACACTAAATTCATAAAAATCTATTTGTTTTCTGTTTACTACAAATGTAATTATATATTCTAACAGTAAAGGTGCTTCTATCCCTTTATAGCGGTTGATATTATATTATAAATTTGTAGTTGAATAACTTAAATTCAAATATTTATTGTGTTTCATTACAAAACTGAAGTTCATCGAAATGGAGGTAATTAGTAAATACAAATATGAAATCATTAATCCCAACTAATGTAAAAAACTTGAATTCTGTATTTATATAAAAATACAACAAGGATATATGACTTGTACTATATATAGTAGATCAGCAGTATAATGGTACCATGTAAATGTACTTTCAGAAAGTATATCTGAAAATTCAGATATTTCTACAGTATGAATACATTTAAATAAATTAACATGTTGTAAGCATAAGTAAAATAATTGACATATTTAATTTTGTACAAAATCTGTGCAAATACTCTATTTATTTTGTCTAATGATTTCTTGCTTTGCATGAAAAACACATTAATTTAAGTTTCCTTAGAACCAAGTACATATCACAACATGTAAGGACATTAGTATTTATTTAAATACATTTACTTTCTCTATTTTTTTTGTTGGTATCTCTTTCTGTTTATTTTTATTTATTTTGTCTATTATAATACAGTAAGCCAGAGTGTATTATAAATTCATTACTGTCACGGTAATATAATTTTTGATGTGTGCTTGGTAATTGGTGATTGCATCAGCGGCATGTTCTGTGTTTTTGGCATGCTACACCTGGCCTTCTTTGACTCATCAACATTGGTTTACTGGGTCTGGGTGCTGGGTCTATATGGTGGTGGGTTGATTTACTAATAGAAACATCTGCACGAGGCTAGACTATATTGGAGCATCAAGGAGAGTGACCGGAATACTGATAATAATCTTACTGTCTATGTGAGTACCCAGTTAAAATGCTCAATTAGTATGAGCAGTTGTAAATACACAATAATACTAACATGGGTCATAACATTAAAAATGAGTTTTTCAAATTTATAATCAAAGTATAGATGCCATTAAATATGTATTTTCTTTTGTACATATAAATATTATATATGTATTTCATAAATTTCAAATATTTTTTGTACATTTCTTTCTGTATAATACAATAATAGCATGAGAAAAAGAACATACTAAAAAGGAAACACGAATATTTTTCTTTTATATAACTGAAAATATATCAAGACAAATATATACATATTTACAGAATCAGACTAACACATTCACTGTCTTTATTGGATTAGTTATTAGCCTGTTATTCAAATTATCCAAACCTCTAACCATAAGGCTCCTACTATGCTACATACTAAAAGTTTTTATTTCTAAAAACGTCTATTCTTTTATATTTTCTGTAGCATGAATCTGCGATCTAATATTCACAAATCTCATTATTGAGATTGCTTGGCAATGAGTGTGTTATATTGAATGCAAACAATAACTCAACTAATGCTAAATTGATAAATGTACTAAAAATGAATGGATACTTTTATGCATTTTTGATTACTATGAGAAGGGATTTGCATTGAAAGGCTTGATTTACACAAGGAAATATAAAAATAAATAATTAATGAAAACTATTGCAGTTTCATAATGTAGAGATTTTTATATATTACATTTACAGTTTTAATATTTTAACTGTCTGATTTTTTTATAATAATAATAGAAATTGGGGGTTTTTATAACAGACAAGACGACAACCTGTTTTCGTGCAACTCCTACATGCAGCTTTTAAAGTGTCGCAATGCTCATGGTTAAATGCTGGTCAAAGATTCAATGTAGAAAATTGTATAAGGACGTTGTCTGATGTAGGTAGGTGAATATTATTACTATCATTATGGCATTAAGATATTATTATAATATTTAAATAATATTTTTATTTACGTTATTAAATATCTTGCTTCTCTTAAATATTAGCTAAGGGTAGAGGGATAGCCATACCAACTGATTTGGAAAGTCAAGTTGCTTCTATGTTTAATAAAGCAGCAATGCTCAGTAGACAAACAAGCAAATGGCTTCAAGCAGCTAAACAACCCAAAATAGAACGTACTCAAAGTCAGGTAATAATATAAATTATTAAGAAATTATTTCAGTTTTTAAATACTGTTAGTTTAAAGATAAAATATATAATCAATTTATAATAGATACAATCTCCAAATATTTAGAGTGACTTAATTGATGAGGATACTAAAGATGAGGTAAAAGTCACTCATTAGAAATTAGCATTTTACTAGTGTGATTTAGCTCTACACTATTAGTGCTTTAAAGCTGACAATTTACAAAGATATGTAGTATAGAATCGCTGAAGTCTGAATTATTATTTTGTGACTGAAATAGAGTAATATTAATATGTACGGCATTTCTGAGGTATTAGAAATCTTAATTAATGATATAAAAAGTATTTTTAATTTGTAATCTTTTTACACTGTATCTACTAATGCACTCTAAGAATTGAGATACTGGGAGTGTGTGATTGTGGGGCTAGTGACCTCAATTAGAAAAAGTTGGATGCATCATAGAAGCAGTAATTATTTATGCATAAAATTAATATTAAACAACTTATTTTTATGTAGCTGATGCGTTTGGATAGAAGCATTATAGAAGGTTTACAAGACATAGTATCTCTATTGGAAGAGCAATTGAAACCATTAGTACAATCAGAATTATCTTTATTAGTGGATATTCTCTATCGACCAGAATTATTGTTTCCAGTAGCAACTGATGCTAGGAAAAGATGCGAAAATGGCGGTTTTATTCGAAGGTAATTTTACTATAAATTAAATGGTATACATGTATTTTGCTATTTTATCTTCTTTTTCAGATTAATCAAACACACAGAAAAGTTACTTGAGGAAACAGAAGAGAAATTATGTGTAAAAGTGTTAAGGACTCTCAGGGAAATGATGGCTATTGACCCTGAATATGGAGAAAAAGTGAGTTTCACAAAATTGTGTTTTGCATGAGTTATAATGATCATTATCATACAGAAAGACACAACATTGTGGAAAAGGGCATTCAGTTGTTTCTGAAGAAATGTTATAGATATTAATTAATGGTGACGAAGCCTCCAGACATGTTTCATATTTATAACCCATCGAAGTAACGTTTTTATAGTAATTTCAGATGTAGCATTATAAATGTAAATGTATTCTTCATGATTACATGTATAATTTGACATATATTGCAGTCATATTGTAGACCTGTTAGTAACTGTGACATTAAGGAATATTTTATTACAATATTATTATTTATGTACGTAACTAACGTTCACCTAAAGATTTATATAGCTGTGTTACTTCAAAAATAAAATTCGGATAAGTTCAATTAGTTATCATGAGGATTCGCTACCGTTAATTAGCACCCCACCACGTATTATTGATTGAACATGTTACTGTTTAAAATTCTAGTTGGACCTAAAAGTCTATAAAAATTTGTGTTTCCATATCCACTTGTATTTTACATGTTTGTCGAAAAGCTAAATGCCCATATGTTTCACGGCACTTTAGATGATCAGTACGCAATATTTATATATGAAAGTTTCTTTAGTTGGCAAGATAGAGACTGCAAATGAGATAAGGCGCAATAAGCTTTTCTGAATATACAATAGAGACTTAAATAACAGTGGGTGAGTAGGTTTCGTAGAATAGATATGTAGGTAAAGATGTTTTCATGCTGCAAACGAAGAGCGAAGGTGTCTCGGCAGAAGAAGAAACAGAACAGCAGAGAGAGCCACAAGTCGGAACAGACTGTGTCGATGAGTCTGAGACTCGTCATATGACTCAGCAAGAGCGGGTAAAATTTAAAAGTAGATAACAACGGTAATTTATGGGCACAACGTATATAAATTGGCAATACCAATTTGATTTTCTATTTCTGAGAGTTTATATCTCACCGTCACTCTATCGTTATTTATTATACGTATAAGTATGAATCACTAGAAACATAACAACAGAACATAAAATACTCTAAATGAAAATAATGTATTCATTTCGAAGATTTCTTTTATATTATATTAAGATCATCAATATATCTTTTGATGATACTATATATTTTCATATTTTAGCTGTTGCATCTTGCATTCAGTTTACAATCATGCAGTATGATATTTTCAAGACTGCATTGTCACACATTTTTAAGTGCTTTTTCATATAAACTATAATGTACAAAAAATTAAATTATGTATCAGCATTAAAAAATATATTAATAACTTAATAATAAAGAGAAAACAACCATGAGAAGAGGTAGTAACTTTTTGTAGAATGAATTTTTACAACTTTTGGTCTTTATTATTTTTGTATTATTTTTCACGTATTAGGGATAACGAAGTATACTGTTGTTTTGTTTCTTATAATTTATGCTGTATATGTATATAATCTTCAATATTAAACATCTTTAATTGTTACACGAGTGTATACACGCATAGGCTGTTCAGCTAATAAATGAAAAGTTTATCAGTATGTTTTAATATTGAAACCACAGTAAATATTTATATTTTCCAATTGTATAAAACATGCATATTTAAACTCACTTTTATTATCGCTGCTTGTAAAGAAATGACTTCATCACATTATATAATACAATAAATGAAATCTGTTTAAGTACAAGAATAATGTACGTTGTGTAGGTACCTTCTGCATGTGCTTGATTAATTTTCTTACATTTACCTAAGTTCGTGCTCTGCTTTTTAACTTATCTTCTCTTGTTACCTTTTTTAATGAACATAGCATAAGTATAGACTAAATATTAGATTTCATATTTTAAAGCAGTTATAATTTATGATAGGATACTCATTTGTTGAAATATATGTTTAAGTGAATGTTTAAATAAGTTGAAGTACGTTCAACTTATCGTGAATCGAAATTCATTGATTTATGGAATACCATTTTATATAGTGTAAAATATTTTTCCGAGTACGTTTCAGTATGGGCATAGAGTTTAGAAATAGAAATAAGAAAATTTATTATGTCTGAATATGTATATACACTTCTTTTACAGATAGGGTGTACCAATACGTCATTAGATACCTTATTATTAGCAACTGTAATATTTTACATGTATCTTTAGCAAAATGAGAGCAGCAATGCGGAATTTGTAATAAAATTATTAAATATTTTAAAGATATATTTACATGGTCAATATTGTAAGTAATATTTTCGTTTTTCACTAACTTATTACTGTGCATATTGCCATATAATATAGATTGTTTTATACAAAATATTTTACTGATTTTGCTGCTCCCATTATACCTAATTGTTCCTTTGTCACGTCGTTTTAACTTTTTATAGTCTACCCAAAAATTTTCCAGTATACAAATTATATAAATCTTTAGAATTGTGCATTTTTTTTAAACATAGTGTAATATTTTTTATGCAATTATGATTGCTCTGACGAATTAGTGTTAGTGTTGCATTTTACTGACATGTAAAATTAATGAGGATTTTTTATAAACACGTAACAAAACGCACAAATATATATATATATAATACTTTTAGTGCACAAATAATGTAAATACACAGATTATCTATTTTTATTATTAAATTACAGATTAGGTAACGATTTTTATAATACTATTATAAATGATGCACGGTAATACCCTTTGAAACATACTGGATTTTTATGAACTCTGCACGATGTATTGGTACATCGCTGTTAATCAAGACGTGTTTCGCTAAATTAATGTACATTTTGTTTCCTTTTCTCCAGGGAGATGTATTGAGAAACAATCTTTTGGCTCGCTATTTTGGAAAGTCTTTCATACAAAAGCCTGAGCATATAGAAATTGGAGTCTCCAACACAGTTACGCATGGACCAGGGGGTATAAATAAATTTTTAACAAATTACTCATCTACTATAATAATACAAGTATTTAGTAAATACGTAATTTTTCCGTAGCCAAAGTTCTAAGCCGAGCAGGCAGGACATTACATGAAATACAGAGTCATCTTGATCGAGAGGGTGCATCAGACTTGGTCGTCGAATTAGTGATTAAAAGTGTACATTCTCCAAGTATATTTGTGGAAGCTGTAGAACTTGGTATCGCACTATTGGAAGGCGGAAATCCTATTATACAAAAAAGTATGTTTAATAAACTAATGGGTGGTGATTTGAGCCAGTCATTTTTCAAGGTAAGTTTTGAACGAAGGAATGTCTCAGCTTTGATTTATAAGTCGAAAATTATCCATGAAACTACCAGAAAATTAAAATCATTAAGAATCATTTAATAATTACTATTTACTATCGTAAATTTTTAGGTGTTTTATGATAAAATGAAGGATTCTCAACAAGAAATCAAATCTACTGTAACAGTCAACACATCCGATATAGCAGCGAAGGCACATGAAGACAAGGAACAGTGCAAGGAAATTGAGAAGATATCACGAAAACGCACATCAGGTATAATATAATAGTAATTCAATTATTCGCATTCATACCTGTTCACATTCATATCTTTCTTTGCACAGGAAAACCTAACGGAATTGTAATGACGGATGAATTACGGGAAGAATTAAATCAGGCCGCATCATCTACAGTGCAAGCTTTTGCAAATGTTCGTAATCTTGCATCTGGTGAGGATGTAACAACCAATGCAGCAATAGGAAGTGCATTGGAGGATATGATTGCGGAAAAACTGGAAAGGCATCGTACTGGAGCAGGTGGCACGGAAAGAGACGAAGGTCAATTAAGTACAAAAGTGTTAGTGATGCAACCAATTTTACGGTTTCTGCAATTGCTATGTGAAAATCATAATCGTGATTTACAGGTAATTTCTTGATCTGTAATACATGACGTAATATTACATTAATTGACGCATGAGTAATATTTCTTATTATTACAGAATTTCCTTCGAAATCAGAACAACAAGACAAACTTTAATCTAGTATCAGAAACATTGATGTTTTTGGATTGTATTTGTGGTTCAACCACTGGCGGATTGGGTTTGCTAGGATTATATATTAATGAACATAATGTTGCATTAATTAATCAAACATTAGAAACTTTGACTGAGTATTGTCAGGGACCATGTCATGATAATCAAAACTGTATTGCTACTCATGAATCAAATGGGTTAGATATAATAACTGCGTTGATCTTGAATGATATTAATCCTTTGGGAAAGACTCGAATGGATTTAGTGTTAGAATTGAAAAATAATGCTAGTAAATTATTATTAGCTATAATGGAAAGTAGAGGTGATAGTGAAAATGCGGAAAGAATTCTATATAACATGAATCCAAAACAATTAGTAGATGTTGCGTGTCGTGCATTTCATCAGGAATCTTTAGATGATGATGGCGATGTTGATGATTCATCTACAGATGGAGAAGAAGGAGTATCGCCGAAAGAAGTAATAATTTCTTAATGCATTATGAATAGAAATATTTTAATATTAATTCAATTGTTTTTCAGGTTGGACACAATATTTATATCTTATGCCATCAATTAGCACAACATAACAAAGAATTGGCGTCAATGTTAAAGCCATCCGAGCAAAATAATGCGGATCCGAAGATTAATAAAGCTCTTCAATATTATGCGACTCATACAGCTCAAATTGAGGTATGTCATTTGTCTTATATGTGCTTCTTACAATATTCGTAAATACGGTAACACATAGATCTTTATAATTTATAATACTGAAATCTTTTTAGATCGTTAGACATGATAGAACTTTGGAACAAATTGTATTCCCAATTCCAGAAATCTGTGAACTTATTACTTTAGATACAAAGATTAAAGTTTTACATACAACAGAGCGAGATGATCAAGGATCGAAAGTTTCCGACTTCTTTGAACGAACTGAAGATATGTTCAATGAAATGAAATGGCAGAAGAAACTTAGAGGTATGTGATATATTGAAATTAATGACTTCATCTCTATTTATTTCAATGCATATCAGATATTTAATAAAGTACTTTCCTATTTTAGGCCAACCAGTACTATTTTGGATGAGCAGTTACATGTCATTATGGAGTAATATTTTATTCAATTGCGCAGTACTCATAAATCTTATTGTAGCTTTCTTTTATCCATTTGTAGATTCTATGCCCGGTAAGATTTAAAATTTATTATACTTAATCATTAACAAATTTTTCATACCTACATCTTTTTTATTTTAGAACTAAGTTCACACTTATCTGGTCTCATTTGGACGGTAATGCTTTCGTCTGCAGTTATTGTTATCACATTGCCAAGAGAATCTGGTATACGGACATTAGTAGCTTCAACAATATTACGATTGATTTTCTCCATAGGACCAGAGCCAACATTATGGTTACTAGGTTTTGTTACGGTAAATACAATGTAGCCCATAACAGACATGTCTAAGTCGGTTACTTTTGTAATTTAAATTATATGTTTCAGATTGTATTAAAAGTTGTACATCTTATAAGTATTATAGGTAACCAGGGCACTTTAACAAGGAGCTTAGAGCAAATAGTGACAAATGTCGAACTCTTGTATCATATATCATATCTCATATTTTGTGTTCTTGGGATTTTTATGCATCCATTTTTCTACTCAGTTTTAGTAAGTACTTATGCGCCTAAATATGCATAATTTGAGTTTTTGAATAAATATTTTCACTTAATTTTTCTGTTTTCAGCTCTTTGATGTAGTCTATCGCGAAGAAACTTTGCTCAATGTAATTAGATCTGTTACGCGAAACGGAAGATCTATTATACTCACCGCTGTTTTGGCATTAATTCTAGTTTATATGTTTTCCATTATTGGTTTCATGTTCTTCAAAGATGATTTCTTAGTATCTGTTGATAAAGACACTGTGTGTTAGTATATATTTTGATAGTACAATCCAGTTTACACAATTTAAATAGAAACGAATATATTTTTTTTATTTGTTTTAGCACCACAATCAGAAGAAAATACTGGAACATGTAACATCGCAAATAATGAGAAACTCGATGTAACTGAAACACTCTCTCGATACGTCTTAGAAGGTACTTAAATTTTTTTACTTTAAGACATGATATACATATGATTTTCTATGAAGCTTATTTAAAATTAATTACAAAAACTTCCCGCAATTACGCAGTAAATGAGACAGAGAGACATGCAGATGCAATTAATGTCGGTGGAGAATTAAAAGAACGGTCATGTGATTCATTGGTAATGTGTATTGTCACAACATTAAATCAAGGTTTAAGAAATGGCGGTGGCATTGGTGATATTTTGCGAGCACCTTCCAGTACTGTAAGTATAAAAATATAGAATGTAAAAAATAATAACATTTAATAAATAACATTTAATGTACTTTATTACAGGAACCGCTGTTTGTTGCTAGAGTCGTGTACGATTTACTCTTCTTCTTCATTGTAATAATTATTGTTTTGAATCTAATTTTTGGTGTCATCATTGATACTTTCGCCGATCTCAGATCGGAGAAGCAGCAAAAGGAACTGATATTGAAGAATACATGTTTCATATGTGGTTAGTGTTTGGTTTATTCAAAATCATAAGTATCTTCTTCATATGGAAATTAAGGTTAAATGAAGTCTTAAAAATATATGACTATTATGCTTAGTGAAGAATATGATATAATCTTGAATTTTTCTATTTTTATAGGTTTGAATAGATCATCCTTTGATAACAAAACAGTGTCATTCGAGGAACATGTCAAACATGAACACAATATGTGGCATTACTTGTATTTCATTGTTCTAGTAAAGGTGAAAGATCCTACAGAATTTACAGGGCCTGAGTCGTATGTGTACGCTATGGTGAAGGTAATAGTCCATAGAGCTTCAAAAAATTGAGCTGTGCTTTAACTTTTAAGCTCTGTGTACTTTTTACAGGACCGAAACTTAGATTGGTTCCCGAGACTAAGGGCGAAATCGTTGGCGGCAGACGAAGGTGAAGGGGAACAAGTAGAATTAAGAAGCTTACAGTCACAATTAGAATCTACGCAACAGTTAGTGAAATGTTTATCTCAACAACTCGCCGAGCTTCGCGATCGGGTAAGTCATCTTCGTTTTACAAAGACATTTCACATTTTTTTGATCATTGATACGAATTAAATTTCTTCATACATTTAAAAATTAAGTGAAAACAACTTCATGTATTATAAATTTATATCTACTAATATAAAATTAATAATAATGGATATTTTAATTAGATGACGGAGCAACGAAAACAGAAACAGCGGCTAGGCCTTTTGAATTCTGCATCCTTGTATATGCAAAACGCTGTCACGTAAATGTAGATTATGTCCAACATCATGTTTAATTTTTAATTACATATGAATCTCAATTTGATACTCCGAACAGATATTTGATGTATAAGTTTGTGTGTGTTTTTAAGAAGCATTTAAAGACACAGGACAGTAATTTTGGGAACAAAACTCGGAAGCATTTGTATAGTTTTTTCTTACTTTTAGAAGATATGTTTCGCGTAAAAGAGCACCATTTAAATTTATTACTTTTAATATTAATCCGATTAAATGAAATTATCGTTCGTTGAATTGGTTCATTAAACTTTATGCGTTACCAGTACTAAATCAGTTATTAATATATTTCGTTTGTGTAATGAAACGAAATGTGCAAGGGATGGCTAACTGAAACAATTTCTGACAACTGTTGAATGTATGTGTTACTTAACAGTTACAAGCGTGAATAATTTGTTTCGTGTAGGAGATTAGAATAAAAATTTCTATTATAATTTGAGTAAACTTCCAGAGGCGCGTATAGGAATAGTAGTTTACAAATTAACATATCTAGAATTCTTATTAAGATTTTAACGTTTTTGCAACGTGTTTGACAAATTTTTAAGAATGTTACTGTTTTTTATCCATGAGATTGGATATGTAAAATAAATGTCGAGTATTTTATTTTATATGTTAGCAAACTTGTTTTATCGTGGTTGTATTAGATTTAAAAATTTGTAAAATAGAATACATTTTAACACATATCTTTCTTGTTGATCGTGTAACTAATATCTTCTTGTAAGAATAAGTCCGTAAAATATATTGTTAAATTCATTTTATAATGTGAATTAACTTGATCAAATTGATTTCATGTTATCATAAATTTTCTCTATATTAATTGCTAAATTATGTACAGATTCTTAGATCATGAGCGTAATAATTACCTTATGAATTAACGAATGAATTTTAACATCGAACATTTTTGCATTACATCGGGAGAACAAATTTTGTTGACCATAAGGCTTTAATAAGATTAACACAAAATTAAATATATTACTATCCAATATCCATTACTGAATATTCATTTAAAACCGATTAGTTATTTTAGAAAATATTAAATATATGAACATTTACTTCGTCCATTTGAGAAGCAATAGAATGAAAATCCAATAAGCTATTCAATGTTGATAAAATATTCGCTGTTTTACAATTATCTATTTCCCTGAAACCGAGTGCCAAGAGATATATAAATTGATTATGGAGTAACTAAACCATGATTAAAATAATCGTTCAATTGATCACAGTGTAGCTCATTTCCGTGTCATAGATATTTCTAACGAATTAATGTTAATAAATATCATTGTTTAGTTGCAATGACGTAAACGTAAATTAAGGATAATCGTATTTAAAACAAATTCAGTGGAAACATTGATAAACTCATTATTATACACGCATTGTTAGTGCAATATTGGATTACGTTGTTAATTAATCTCAAATTATTTTCCACTAACATGTTCGCTGGATGACATTCACCATCCGACTGTGTCTATAAACACTTTATATATAGATAGATGTATATGGATATATTGTATGTTGATAATTTTTTTAAGATAGTAAATTTAATAGATGTATTGTACATATTTCTCGTTCGATGTTATCCATTTCCTGTTACTATTTGTACGTGTTAAGAGAGTAATTGTTTCCCTTAGAAATGTCATTTCATTTTGTGCCAACTTTATAAAATTTTAACAAAATGTTATTTAAGATCTGCGCCACGTGCACCCGATAATCGAACGCAAACGTGTTACCTGTAGATGTACATGTTTCATATTCCAAATGTAGGATATATAAATAATAATACAGATTGTATTGAAACTTGTATGTGAATAAATTGTTCTTTTTTAATTAATCGAGTCAACTTTCTAAATGAAAAGTTAACATTGTCCATGCGATTGCTGGTCTGTTGGTTTTTTATGATTTCAGCGATTGTGATTGAAAATTGATAAATATAGTTTTCGTTATTTTCAGATCACAATTGCTTTATAATATGTTATTTTAAAACAATTTTTTGTTTTTATAAAATGTAGTTAACGAAACTGAATATGTGCAAACGTTTTTTTCTATTTATTACTAGTGATATGAAGAATGATGAATGCATTTGGTTTTCATTTCATTTTATTTATACTTTATATGAAACAATTGACTATTTATTGTGACTTAGATATACGCGGCTAGTACATACATGTAACATGTATTTCTTCTTCTTTAGTTAGACATGCCTTGTGCAAAACCGGTACATTCGTTTAAGGAACAAACCGTGTTATAATCGTTGTGAATTATACTTCGTCGAGCGATGTGAGAAAGAATGCCTCGTATTCGCATTTAACATTATCGCCTTCTCTTGAAACTAACGATAGCATTTCGAGAAACAGTTCACCGATTTGGAACACAAGTTATTGAGTGCACATGTCTCCGGGTGACGACAGTTACAATTATTAAAAGACGTGCAACTTTTCAATTATATACTTTTTTTCCATTTTCTCCTATTCAATAGCGTGTCACCTTCCATTCAATACGGCGCAATTAATTACATCGTGACTTTCAACTCTGTTTCGACGAGGTTGCAGAAAAGTGGCTCGCGAACATCCGAGCTGTTCGCTTATCATACAAACTTTAATATCTTTAACTTCCGACGAAGTTAGACTTCGATCTTTTTTCTTTAATCTTTCGATCATTACCAGCCTTCTCGCAGGGTGTAAATTACAATGGGGTAAGTCAGTCTTTCTATTCGCTAGTATAAATTAAGACTAAATTAAATGTATGAATTTAAAGCTGTTTTCAATGGATATTATAATAAAAATAATTCTGGTATAAAAACAAAATCTTTGGTAGGAATGAGATAGAAACGTTTCACGGAGATATTAAACACTAAAAACAGTGTTATTAATATTATCGAAGGTTCGTAATGATTCAGTTGATCCCGTGTTACACGAGTCCCTCTTAACAGGCATCAAAGTCTTTCAACAGAACTGCGTTACATTGCAGCAGAATGGTGCTTAATCTTCTTCATATTTTGAGTTTAAATAAGATCGCTTAATAAATGAAATAAGAGTAATAATCTTAACTATGAGATACTCTCTTAAAATTAAGTTGAGAAACTCAGGTAAACATTTGAAAACTTTTTTCCATTTTTCAATAAAAAAAGTGCAGTAACACAGGAAGTATTATTCAAAATGTATTTTCTCATTCATTTATTAAAAAAGAACCTCATTTAAACTGAATTTATGATAACGGAGAAATTACTCTTCATTGGATGCTCGTTGCACGCGATCTGATCGTACGATACAAAAGGAACGCACTGAACAAATGGCATGCAAAATGTAACATCTTGCTCAAGAGAAACATTTGGAACGAAGAAAATTATTTCTAATACGGTGTACAAATAATTGCGGCGATCATGTTACAAAATTACAGAATCCGATGGAATCGTTTACATCGGTGGATGGTTCTTCGAGTAGTTCAATTATTTCGCTTGTCGCTAATTTAATGTTGCTTCGGTCGATACGTACATCAAACATTCACGTTCTAACTCTTACTTTCGGCTTAGTCTAACAATCAATCGCGTAACCGGAAGTCGATCGATATATCTTCTTGTCGCGAGAGATTCCCTTCTTTTCTCGTTCTTTCGTGTGTCGTATAACAATTATTACTTCGTTCACTGTTCTCTTTTTTTTTAATATATAACTTCTCCCTATCAGCAAACGTTTCTTTCGCGGAAGAAGAGCCATCTCTGGACTTTCACCGGTACGCGGTAACAATTAGTCGAGAAATGCACTGGAATGGCACTCGAAGCTCGTTCGTTAAAATACAATCTGTCTCCATTCACGGAACCGTCCCTCGTGTACAATAAATTATCATATAATTTACAATGAACTTCGACAACTTAACAGTAGCTCGTGATACTCTGTACAAATCCTACATTCCTCTACCATCAGTATGTACAAGAGACTATGTGTCATAATATAACTTCTTCCACGTTTACTTTGGCATTTGCATGAGAGAGGTGACGTGTGGTTTCTCGCTACTTCAAATCCGTGCATCGCGTTTTTTCTTTCGTTTTCTTCCCTCTTCGATTTTACTCGCTATATTTATATTTATATGCGTGCGCAGACCGAGACGTCTGGAAGAGATTGCACGACATGTGTCTGCCTCGGTTTATGCGTGCTTGCTCTTTTACTCTTAGATTTTCAAAGAGAACGAAAATACTATCGTTATTCTGAAACATCATTATTGAAACTATAAAAACAATGAATCGAGTTTCTCGTCAAAATTTATAACATTAAGTTAAGAAAATTTCTCGTCAGAATTTATGCGGACAACTTATGCACATATAAAATAATCTTTACTTGATGTTTATTGACATTAATCGTTGTTTCTTTTAAATTGTAGGATAGAGGAAACATAGAGGTAATTTGCAAAGTGTTAATGCTTGTGGACTGTGGTCTTATGTACCTCTGTGTTTTAGGAAGATTGTCACTATTTACGAAGTAACAGACACATTTATGTTTTTCCTTACAGACGTTTCACCCGGCGTGCAGGTTTATGTATATGCGTACGTATGTATAATATGTACATGGTCTATTTGAATCTTATAGCTAAAACGAGTGGTATACACCGAGTGATTCGTAGTATATATATATCTCTTCTCGATTTTATCCGTAATTCATATATTTATATATTTATATATATAGTTCGACTAGTTTATTGAATTCCAAAATTCAGGTTGACGCCGATTCAGTGTCGATTCTATCGACGATACCGTGCTTCTTTTATTTTGATCGACGTATTTCAATAATTACTACAACGTTGATCACATTTCTATCGTAACCGAATCATCCACAATCTGTGAATATCTTATGGAGGCCTTAACCGAATTATTTTTGAATTCTTATTTCCCTCCGGTGTTCGATGCTCGTGTTTGAATAAAATCTAGGGAAATGTAGTTAAAGTTACCAATTGTGCCTACTTCTTTATTACATTTAATATAGGTTTTACTGGAAATAATTTTAAAAATCAGATCTTTTAAATCTGGTCAATGTCCGTTTGAAACAATTTCAAACACAATATTTACTTCAGAAATTAGTTCATTCTATGGTATAAAACAAATTTTTTAGTGATTTCTAGCAAATAGTTAATGTTGCATCAATAAAGAAAGAACATTATATATAATAATTATAATTTTATAGACGTGTCGGTAGCGATATAATTCATAATTGATTCTTTGACTCTTAACGCTTCATCCCGATTGATCATTACGGTTATTTAATTCTTTGAACTTTGATTATTCGTTTTTCAGGACAATATATGTAGCTTAATAATAGTATAAAAACACGAGCATCAACGTATCATTTGAACGTTGTTATTTACATATCCAAGGGAATCCTTAGGCTCGTTCGTATAGTTTCTCATTAAACAGGAACGTGTACGGGCACAATGTGTGGAGTTCGTTCACTCAACAAACGGCCACGTAAGTTAGAAATACTGTGGCGAGCATTAGGATCTGTGTTCTATGCTCTCCACTTCCGGTCGAGGAACTGAGCACATGATTCGATGACGGCGATGGCGCGCTCTTGTGCGTGTTCGCAATTACTGATGCGCTCCTCCATTTTATGGTGTACTCGGGGGCTGTCCTCCCCAAAGCTTGTAATCTGTGAACAACAAAAGATTATATTTCCTTTCCAAACAATAATAAGTAAAATTATATTCTTTTCTAATTTCACCGTGGAAGTGAATATAAACTATATTAATTATTATTTTAACTATGGTGGCCGTACAGGTCTACAAAACTTGGAAAGTATCAATCGTGATATACCATGTATTTCATTTCATTTTCGCAGGGAATATTTCTACTCCCCATCTAATATATTAACGAAATGGTTACGACAAATTAATTGTCCTGTTTATATCGATATTCATGTTCGTGTTCATGTTCATGTGTTTAATTAAAGCATCTTGTAAACGCCTCCGGCGGTTCATCCGATTCGGTGCAGTGGTACGAAACATGAAAACCGTAATTTCTATGTGATAAACTCGATACTAGCTCGTGTAAACAATATTTCTGGAAGTTTCAGCTTTAAGCTGAACCGTATGGTTATGGTGGAAAATAGCTTTTCGTAAATTGTTATAATTTAAGACACGATGTTATAATGTTTTGGATAGTATTTATCGAAAAGTACTATTTAATTGTCGCTAATTAGTACAAGTGACGAAAGATCTCGACGATGTTTCGGCGATTTCCGGCTAAAATCATTCGTGCCTTGGGGATGAAACTCACCTAACTACCACGGTGTTCATTTTCCATGGGAGAGTGAAATTTTTGTACGTATCCCTCGAGCAGAATGTGTGCAATCTTGGCCCCGCCGGGTCTCCGTTTTTGCTGTATTCGTGTATCGTCAGATTCCAGGCGGTGCACGGACCTGCGGCAAGGAAGAAAGCAGGAAAAAGTTCAGTGCACGCCGGTGACCGGTCTATATACATTTTTCACGCGACGAGAAGTGTCTGGAGAAGTTGACGCTATAATTTAATGTTCGTCCCCCAGAGTAAAAAAGTTGTACTAAATATCAGGTCAATGCGTTTTCATGCGCCCTAAGGAACACTTCTTCTTTGGTGGCCAAGAAAAGAATCCCTTAGGAACTGCTTTCTATGAAAAAAATGATAAAGTCAATGGTATGTAAGATTTCACAAATTTATCGTCATTTGTCTGAATATAAAGTTGTTTTCTCTTTCATAACACGCGAACACTGAAACAGTCTTTCTTATCAAAGGTAATCAATTTATGTAAAACTTATTACAAATAGATTTTTAGAGAAATCTATAAATCTATAAATAGGCAAATCTATTTGTACTAATATAAAAGATATGAAAGACATAAAGATATAAAAAGAGTACATCGCGATGAAATAAACTTATCGAAAGTAATGACGACTGTTGAGTGACTAGTTGCAGAACGATAATGTTTGAATTGTTTATTTTTTAAATATCTAGAAACTAATCATCACAGTTACGATGATCTAAAATATTTTATTTGAAATATTTTCTGTTAAACCAACGAATTGTTTATACAAAAAGTTTTCTTAATGTAGGATAATCTAAAATAAAGATTCGTCTGCGGTTTATAACTGTGTTCCAGACATATTGACAATCAAACTGGCATCAATTACTCCCTTCTCAATGATTGTCAATACTGATAGTCGGAGCGGACTTTGCCGTGCGTCAAATGTTATATCTGCGACAATTAATTGCGAAACGAGCTCCCTTAATTGGTTGTTCGGGAATGCATACGAGTTTCACTCTTGACTCGAAACGATATATGGAAGAGCGAACGGTTGACAATCAATAACGATACGACAAATTCATTACTCCCCACTTTTTCTCGCTTTATCATTACACAGTTTCAATATTTAAATTTTCATTCCATGCGTCGCCCCGACATTCGACAATGGCCAGCGTTTCTCTTTATTTTGCAACTAAAAATTTCCTTCATCCTAAAATTATTAAAAAACAGATTTTCACGAGAAACCTACAGCCCAACGAAAATTCCGCTTTTGACGAGCGTCGAGAACGCTTCGCCCCTTTTAAAAATGAATTAAACGCTGAAATTTAAATCAGTGAATAATGAATACGTTTCACATCGCGTAGTGTATATTCTTCATTATTTGGATTTGATAATTGAGAGGTAGAAAAGCGCTCTTTTTTACGAATTATGTTATAACCATATATGTCGGGGATGAAACAAATTTACAATAATTAAACTATGGGATTCTTAACGTTCTATAGACATATTTTTGTAAATAGTAAAATCTACTTTCCCATACAATTACCAGTATGAATTTCATAAACGAAAGTCCTGGTTTCATTCATTTCACAACACAGAAGAATTAAAAGCGAATCATAAAGTACCAACACCACCTAGAAAGCAGTACAATAAACGATACGATATAACCAACGTCAACATAGCCAACGTTAACAAAGGCATTTTCTCGAACAAACGAAATCTCGAGGCATCCATCGGATTGATAGATAGAACGAGATAACCTTTCGTCTCGCAATCTTTGGTAATCCGTTACGAAGAGTCACGGAGGTGACTGTCGCCGGTAAGAGAAGAGAAAACCGCATTGTCGGAATGGGAGTGTAGATCGAGTGGTATGTGAAAGCCATTTTCCTCGGTTCGGTCGACCGCACTGGCTTCGGTTGTTGTTTCGCGATGAGAATGCGACGCGCGAAGCGGAAAGTCGAAGAAAGGCCCGGCCCGGAGTAGAGGCAGCAACAGCAACAGTGGAAAGAGGAAATCGAGGGAAAAGGTAGGCTGGCTTTAAAGACTCCGACTAGTTCGCGTTGTCCGGGCAAATCCGATGGTTCCTTTAATCTCGGAGTCCCGCTTCGTTTTCGAGGCTACGCCGCCACGGAAAGGGACCGTGGTCCTCCTTTTCTACGGCCACTCTGTTTACCTCCTCCTTTCTTCGGCCAGTGCGCCCTACGACCATACTCAATGGCGTGGACAAGGAATGCCCAGCCAAAAGCGTAATCGAACGGAACTCAACGAAACCGGTACAGAGAGTATCGTTCCGCGAAACAGTCATCTTTTGCTTTCTCTCCTGAATTAACGGCCAAAGAAAAGTTTCCCTTTCGAGATTGCGACTCGGGTATACCCGTGGCTCGTTAAACATTGTCCTTTTTATAGCCTTTATTTAGGCTGAAGTTCGCATAATTACTGAGTCCCTTCCCATTCAGATGGATTGTGAATTATTCGGGATATCGTTAAGCCAGCCAGTTTTTATTAAGATTTTTAGTTTCGTCGGGGATTCCTCGGAATGAAGAGGTTTATTGTTTCCTTGTATTGTTCGTTTCCTTAATATTTCGGTTAATTTTCGGGAACGTGCCCCCGTCGTTGTCTTTATTATATACAAAAATCTACAGTGTTTGTGCGTAGTGTATTAATTTTTCTCGTAAACTAATAATTAACGTTCTGCTAATCGATAATTCAATTTTTCTTTGATCGACGTTGCGAGTAATGGTAACAATGACGTTCTTCTCAGTTAATTTACGAACGTTAGAGAGATTTCATTTATGAAAATATAATCACGGTGTGTTGCAAAGAGGAACCGTATACTTACGGCTCTGTGTAGATTTCACTTCGATGGTGAGCTGTCGATCCGTCAAGGAGTTCAAGATCCACGTGCACTTCTGCTGATAATACTGATTGAGCTTTAATCCGGTGCTGGCTAGGTCACCGCCGTTAACCTCGCCTTCCGGTTTGCTGGTGTTGTGATCGCCGCAGTAAGTGTCGTTGATAAACTCGTAAGCCGCACGGAAATTGAGGCCTGCCTCGGAGAACCTTGACCATTCGATGTACACTGGTGTCCAGCTACGGATACCAACGGGCAGCCAGTCCTGTGTGACAGATCATAGATAAGCGAAACATCTTTCACGTACGTGAAATAGTCTCAACGTTTATTTCTCTTAGAGAAGCTAAACCTCTATACACGAATCTTATCTGTTACTAAAGCGAATTACGGTGTTCTCTTCCCACAGTCACGTCAATTGGAACGTAAATGGTTGTATTCACCCTCTGAACTCGGTAGGTGACTCCCAGTCACCATTTGATCTGACGCAGTAAAACTATAAAATCTGATATTTAATGTTCAACTTTGTATAACGCCTCGATATATGAAATATTGGAATAAAGTAGCTTTGTTCCCCAATATACTTGTGATTTCCCTTCGAATTAGTTTCAAAGAATATCGTCTTTGTTTCGTCAAAAAATGTGAAATATTTCTAGTGAGAAACTTCCGAGTGCAAAGGGTTAAATAACAGTACTAAAATAATGTTACATCTATTATATTATTATAGCTCAGCCACTAATTATTATACACGAATACCCATAAAAATAGTGTTATAACATCCTCATCTTTATGTAGGTATATCTAAAGATTTGATTTCCTTCAAAAATTGCTGGAACTATTGACTATCATATTGTTCGTATAACAATATGATATTATGTAATATTCTCTATATTTAGAGAACTGTAATCCAGCGGTCGAAAAATAACTATATGAAAAAGAAGTGATATCGTAAAGAAGGAAAAGAAAGTACAAAGTATTCGGTATTTGTGTATTCTGCGAACAATATGCGATCAATGAAGAATGGTGAAGCTTAGCTGTTTCTTTTAAAAGGAAAAATAGATGACAGTGAAAGTTTCCAGCGTACAGGTTTCCCGGAGGGTTAATTTCATCAGACCGAATCTATCGTAACATATTTCACTTTTTCTTCTCGATGTGTTTTGTAAATTGCTCAACGTGAGGTCTCCCCCTTCGATCCATCTTTCTCACTTCCCCTCTTCCTCTTCCGTTCCCCCTAATCGAACAGGAAAACAATTTCTCTGTTCTTCTTGTTTCCAACTTTCACTGTACATGCGCATTATTTGTTTTATTCGCAAGCCGGTGAAATCGTTCAAAGTAATTCCGAGCCAGGCTGATGGAATAGGTGTTGAATAGAACGGGAGACCATTCAGTGTCCAGCCAATACAATCGGCGAGTGCCGCGTTTGCCCGTGAATGAAACCAGAATGAAACGGTGGCAGTCGGACGTGAACGGCAGAAATAAAAGGGGGAAAAGAGAATGGCGTCGGCGGGAGGGGTGGAAAGGCGGGGGGATAGTGCTTGCAGAGCGTTTTTCGAATTAAACGATCTTAGTCAATGATGTGACACCTGCGTTCCCTTGGCGTCATTCATGAGTACCGGAACATCCTTGTTTCTGTGCATCGACTCGCGAAAGAATTCGAGAAATCTAACTTCACTGATGTTAAAGTAGTAGTGGTAGAAGTAATATTTAAGAAATACTCGTATTAGAATTTCTAAAATGAAAGTAAAATCCAAGTATGTACGTAACTTATTACCTGTGGAATTTAGTTTAAAAAATCTCTCGTTTTGCGCACAATAAAATGGAAAACATGAAGTATTTTAATGAAAATCCAAAGCAAACCAAAGAAGAATTACATGTTTATCTGAAAAGGTAAAGAATTCATCGTTGAAAGAATTAGTATCATTTCAAGCTTTAAGATGACGTGTATACTCGTCAAACGCAGTTAACTAGTTAATATTCTAGAGTAATTCTTCATTTTACTCGTAAAATATTATTTACCGGATCACTGCACGGTAAATCAATAATTCGGTATGCCTGACAAATTATACTCTTGTATCACTTGTTCGCGCATAAACTTTTTGCTAACACGTGACCGGCCAGGAACGGTGTACATTCCGCGTCACGTTACCCGTTTATTGTAGGATATTAAAACATACACTTAGCTCTAGTCTAACCGGATTTTCAATTTCCATTTAGATTCAGGAGGCAGTCGCGTCGCGTCGCCAGGAAGATAACGATCGTCCTGGGTTTCCGCTCACCTGATAATTTCCGCAGAGGCAAGTGACGATGTGGCCAGTTTCAGAGACGAGCAGAAGGCGGTCCATGTTCTCCAGGGACTCTCCGCTGACGCAGTGACAGCCGCTGTCCCCGCACTTGGTTTCGCAAGGGTTATTTGGTCGCTGTTCCGAGCTGCTCTCCACCTACGAATACAGCAACACATCGTTTAACCACCCAGCGTTCTGTTCTTTCCGGAAAGTTATTAATCAGAAAATAACTTCAGAAGACACAGCTCCGAAGAAGACTATAAAACAAGGAATTAAAGAATATCCCTCAGTACTAAGATGATAGCAAATATTATATTCAATCTTTTATTCTGCAGCAATGACATGATAACCATGTTTGCGTAAAAACATTAGGCTTAATAAAGTGTTAACAATAAAAGGGTTATAAGAAATAGAATTGACCAAGTGGCTTCTGTCCTTTTTTGTACTGTTATATTTTATTATATCCATGTACACCCTGCGAATGAGTTCTCAAGAAAAATTTGTTTCTACAATGAATTATAGAATTGAAGCGTCATTTCATAATTCCCTGTCGCGATTCAATTTGGCGATGTATTTAAGAGAAGTCGGTAACTAATACTCTTCGCTTTTAGAGATACTACCGTGCGGGGCAAGTGTAGATCGAAGGACTTACGCGGATGATGACCGACTGATTACGCGCTGGGATGAAGTGCTGCCTGCATTTTATCGGCCCCTTCATGGCGAATAATCGGTGGGGCTCCGGATGCACTACGGAACCGTTCACTCGTGACGTCAATCCGTAATATTCGACGTCGCACACACTGGCCGGTTGTTGAGTGCCACCCTCGCGTTCTGAAATATCGACAACGGCGTCGTCTGTGCGATTGAAATCGTAGTAGTCGGGAAGGATTAAAACTATTTTCGATAGCTGACGTCTGGCCGATACCGACGGATCATATGGTACAACTGAACGGAACTGAAATTTGTCAGACTTAAAATACCGTTATTCCACTCGATCAAAATCGAAGTCGGTCAATTCGCTAAAGAGTAGGATAAGCTTCTGCAATTCTCAAATAATTATACCATTTCTCTGTGAAATGCTAATGCTCATCTGTTTTGAACAACCAAAGAATGTGACATGTTACACGATCGTGAAAATAAATACTATATTAACCGAATTGTACTAAGAAGAGAAGTTATCGAATCAGGAAATTAAAAAAATTATGAAAATTTCTGTGTAAGCAAACTAAGTCCAGTTTAATAAATTGCAATTCATTTCGTGCCGAATTTCACTTTGAAGGGGTGAAACCACTTCTTGAAAAAAATGCAAATTTTTCGGTCCCGTGGATTATCTTGAGAACGGTATTTTTCAAGGGTTGATATATATCACCCCCTCGAAGTGAAATTCGACATGAAAAAAAATTGCGATGTATTGGTCTTGATTTAGTCTACTTAGATATAATTTTTCGAATTTCCTGATTCGATAACCTCTTTTGTTAGTAAAATTAGATTAATATAATATTTATTTTCACGATCCTCTAGCATGTCATATTCTTCGCATTTCCAGAACAGATGTAGATTAGCATTTAACAGAGAAATGATACAATTATCTAGCAGGCACGATAACTTCCCTTGTAAGTTCGTTCAATAAAAGAATTTAAATTGCAGACAAAAAGAAAAGTATTATGAAATCATCAGCGCGAAGATGTCGAAGTAGAAGAGTTTCTACTAAATCCGATGAATTAGGATTTTATGTTTGTTAAAAATACATGGCTGTTTCTGAACAGCGGTACGCGAACGAAATTAGCGTTGCAATATCAGCAGCGCATTCATGATACGTCAAACGCGAACTCGTAACGCTCGAAAGCTCCACGACACGTGCTGTTACCGGCTAACCAAAATTTCGAACGCGACATGGGGGACAAATGAACGCGAGCATCAATCGCAGAACATGTATCACGGTGCGGGAGCGCGTTTAATAAACGGCAAAAAGGGGGAGAGCCACGAATCGCTGATTCAAGGAAAGAGAGAAAAGGCTGGACGTACAGTGGTCGCCTTTACGAATTCTTCAAAAGAAATTAAAAGCTTAAATTCCTATGCTTGAATCGATGCAATCGATAGATTCCACGGAATAATTAATTTCACTAGTGGTATCGAGATATCGGTATTTTGAGGAATAAAGATGAAATTTGTGAATGAACTTAGTATTCGTGTTAGGTGTAGTAATAGAAGAAAATTTTACGTTTTAAAATATATGGTTCCATTTAAAGAGTTAGTCTGAATCAGGTCGTTTTGAAATTGTTGAATCTGTTATGAAATTCTGCTTTAACAAAATTAAATGATTCAAAAATTTCAAAATTTATCTTTTGTCGTTTTAAAGTTACGACTTAATCTAGGTTTGTGGAACACGCTGCATGTGGGTTCACGTTGTCACTCGAGTACTACAATAACTCCAACCAGCGTCACGCGAGGGTGAAACGTCAATGTTATGCTTTTTCCTGCTATCTGCGCCGCGCCGCGTCTCGGAACCTGTCCTTTCACCCTCCGCGTCCATTTCTTTCCGTTCAAGGATTCTTTTGTTTCTGGTACATTAGTATAAAATCTACGCGGAGTTTGCGACACGTTTAACAACGTACAACTTCGTATATTTTCTACGGTTTCTTTCACCCCTAACAACAGGAATCCGCGCGGTGTGACTATTTGCTCACTAGTTGCGAAACGAAACGGGCTTTTAATTACGGGGTAAAGCGTTCGCCGGTGGCCTGTAACATAATTTGCGCTTTAATGAAAGTGCCAGGAATGCTTTTTAGATGGAACCGCGTGTAACGTATGCGTAAACGAATAAACGTTAACCCTTGCCATTCGGCGGAGAACGATATCGAGGTAACGCCCAGAAAAACTGCACTAAAGTTCCCGTAACAATTAAGATAAATATGATTTATGCTATTATAATTATGTTGTGATAATCATGATTTTTAAAGGATAAAATTCCAATGAATTGAAGCAAATATTTTCTTTCTCAGAATTTGATCGATTGTCTTTAAACCTTAATCACTTAATTAGATAAAATCTTGATAAAAGTTACACTATATATCATAGTTTTCATTAGATTTTTCTATCTTTTTTAACTCTCGTATTCTATTTTACAGCTGCCGCCCAGATCGTCCAATTACAATTTTCCTTAATACGAAAATCATTTTCAATATTTTAAGAAACCCGCATGCCCGAAAGACTAATTACCTCTCACTTCACGGTTCCATCCTCGCGCGCATAACATTTTACGATTCAATTACTCCTTTCTATCCAGGACACTCCGCGAAACGTGGACCGAACAGTTCTTTAATTGCTCAGTGAAATATATCTTTCACGTAATACGCGCCCGACAAACTCACGTACGCAGAAACTCGCACGCGGGTCGGAAAGTTGCGAAAATTGCTCTGCCCTGCGCTGAATCGCTCGGATACGGGGGCTATTACTTTGAGCCGTACACAAGCCAATTTCTAGTGAATAATTCCAGATAACAGCGCGATTCCGCGTCGGAAGGGTTTCCTTGTAACTTTATTTCCTCGCGGACGCGTGCACACGAGAACGTGCGCGCCGACGAAAGAGTTTTTTCCGCGTGTACCCAGATCGTCGATGCGAAACGCTCGTCCAACTGTGCGGTTACTATTTCCCAATTCCGTTTCGCGGGGTTTTAATTCTAATTTATTTCTCCTCCATTCCTCTTTTCGCCGTTACTCTCCTGCGGCCTCTCGCGCGAGAACGTCCGGCAGCGGAAACGAAATTTTTCCGTTGTCCACGTGAAAGTTCTACGGCGTTATTCGACGCGACCAGAAGGGCCCCGGTTCCGTCCCGCCGCTAGAGAATCGAACTCCCTGGATGACATAAAATTTTATGCGCCGGATAGATTGTCTGCGGATATCGCGGCAGCGGCGGCCCTAAAACTGGCCGGAGGAATTCCGAAGGCCGCGGAGGACGTATACACCCGTGCAGGTTTCTGCGCTCGATGATAATTCAAGGCTCTCCACAAAGGAATATTCAATTTATGGAAGAGCCGAACCGATGCTCGTATAATACGCCCATCCAATGCATAAATGCATGAACGCGGGTTTGATCGATCTACTTCAACTGTTTTCGCAACTGTTATATTGTTGTTACATCATTCAGATGGTACGAATATTGTACCTGGAAGATTGTATGTTTTTGACTAAGGTCTCTAGAAGCAAACAGATTTCAGAAAGATCGTTTCTTTAAATGGCACATTAAAGAGTAACTGTTTTTGCCCGTTTTTCTGAGTATCGATTCATCTTCTTCAATATTTGCGCCTGAAAAGTATTTGCATATAAATTTGGTGCCGGAAACAGTTCGTGCGGTTTCTTAAATCAAAATGTAAACAAGGAAAATGTTTTTTTAAAATAATTTCATTTTATTCATTAAACCAGTGAAATACGATTGATTTCGGATCCCAATTCACTGCTAATAAGAAAACCGCACTTTTTCCGGTACCGAATATAGCTTCTTTCATCTATAAACCGGTTCTTTTAAGTCTTTTGCGTAAGGGAATATATAAAGTATTGGAAGAAGTTATTCCATCTTCATAGAATTTTCTCTTAGAATAAAAGGCATGAAGCGTAACGAAAGAATACTTTGAAAGACATTTCTATGAAGTAGATGCCTTTATTTCGCGTGTTATTACATAAATTCATTCTTCCACGTTCACCGTCAATAATATGGACCACAAAGAAATGTGGGTATTAAGAGAAACTGTAGACAGTAATTAGGAAATTACATTCATTGAAACTTCTTGATTAAAATCCAAGTCATTCATTAAATTACATTGTTTTATGAATACGCTTGTAGAAGGCATTATATTACAATGATAAAACGTTCAGACGTTAGCATACTTAAATGATAGATGATGTTTACTACATAGCTGTTCTATACTTTTACCTAAAAATGTCACCGTTAACTTTTTGCACTTGAATATTCTTCTTCAAAAATATTTATCGTTTCCTAATGAGATATAGATGACATTTTTTACGTTTAACTTAAAGAAAAATCGCACATAAATTAAAGAACAAAGCTATTTTATTTCAATATTCCACATACTGATGCATTATACGATGTTCAATGTCAAATATTAATACGTTGACCGCTACAAGAATTTAGAGCGTTTCGTGCAACATTATGAACATCGAGTTTTCTTGTAATTGGTTTCAAGTAATTTGGACGTTCCGGTCATCGGTGATCACAGTGGCGCTCAACGTGTTAATCCTTTCGTCCCTGAATATGTATTTGTCTTTAATATGAATTTTGTGACAAAAACCTTACCACTGTGCACTAATTAACCAAAAACACATGTACTCACATCTGATTAGCACTCAAGCTATCAGCCATAAGCAAAGATCTCCGTGTGTTTCAATTTTCCTTTATCTAAGCGTGTCCCAGTTTTCGGTAATTTAAAATGACCGTGTTACCTACGTGTACCGTTGGGGACGAAATGGTTAAATTATAGAATTTTGCTGTATCAAATGGCGTGCGAGAGCCACACCTCGAGTGCAAAGGAATAAGCTATGAAAATGTAAGGTCCTTCTATCAGCTTCAATGTAATAAATCTTCCATCAATTGTCATTTCGAGCAACCAAAAGAAACGTTGAAGACAGCGAGCTCGGATGACAAGTAAACCTTTGAAGAAGATATCATCGGGAAGATCCACTGCCTGCTCGTCTCCAATTTTTTGCCCCGTTGATTAGTTTTCCCAATCCCGGACTGCAGCGCCGGCCTTATCGATCGCGGCCGATACGCGTACACCACGTGTAAACGTAATAACGTTGACGAACGACGCGGACATCCGTCAATCAACGTCAAATCGATGCCGGCAGTTTGTCGGCAGGCTGACTCTCCACCGTTCGTGTCATTTGTCGCTTTTTAATGTGCAGTGATTTTTCCGGCCGCGTCATTGTTTGCAGCGAGGCGACGTTGCGCTTCGCTGCGCGAAATGATGCCCATGATATTGTCAGCTAGTTGACGGACAGCGATACACGATCGTTCAGACGGGGGGAGGTCATCGCGACCAATCCGTTTGACGATTCGAAAGCAAGGAATTATTCCATTAGCGAAACGTCCCTTACGATTTCACGGTGTTATTTTTCAATCGTGCGGCGCGCTCCGGTGATCGATCGATAGCGTGACAGCACGTCTGCAAACATCGTAGAATTGAAGAATCTCGAGTTTATATCAATTTCATTAACACTTCGCGGATGAGAATTTGTTGAACACCTGATAACCTTTTTCGTAAAAAAGCTAACTTCTGCATCGAAGTGTTAAATAGCAGGAAAAAAAATTATATATCAATCTCTCGTTATTTGAATAATTGAATTGTTCGTTTGCACTTTTCGAATTTAGAAATCAAAGCTTGAAATCTCTATAATGGCGGCATTTGACCGCAAAGGGTTAAGGCATTCCCGTGAACATGCTTACATTTTCCTACTAATTTGATTCCTCTCAATTTCCTTTATGTAATAGTCAACGAATATTGCCACTTAACGTATTTCATTCGACCGTATTCGATGTAAATATCTAAAAAAGGATGACAGCGAGATTTAAGACCGATAGTAAAATCAGCGCGCGAGAAGCGAAATATCTTTCGCGTCAGCCCGGGAGTTGCAAGGTGTCGCCCGAAAATTTTACGACGTTACTCTTTAATTTCCAGGCAGGAATCCGACCCCTAATCCTGCCGGAGATATGAAACGAACGTCCGAAGGCGAACGGTGGGTCCGGGCCAATAAAAGATTCATCGGGTCGTTCGACGAAAATTCACGGTTCAGATCTTTTTTGGCGAAAGCACGCGGCGACATACTGTAAATGCACCTTATGGATAGTTCCGCATTCTTGGCGCGGGGCCAGCCGAGTTCCCCGGATTACCACGGGGACGCATCTATATTCATCCGATTAAGGGCTCGAGGCTTTAACATTGATATGTCGGCGTGCAGTTCCGGTAATTAGTCGGGCGTAATTAGCAACCAAGCAAGCACATGAACGCCCGAAGCTTGAACGAAGAATCGGCAGCCAAAATAATTGGTGCGTTTTGCGCTGACCGCACTAGATTCTACTGGTCCGCTCGACACTCGATCCTTCACCGGCACCGCGAATCGATCCCGAAGAAAGAAAGATCATTATCGATTATAAATTCGTTCCTGTTTTAATTAAATTTTCCATTCACCTTGTTTTCCTTTTCTTCCCCTCTTTGCCTCTCTTTTTTTTCTCGTTCCAATTAGTTCACCTTCGAACGAGAGAGTAAGAGTGGCAGAGCGGAAGTCCGGCGAAAATGCGGATTAAACTCGCGGCAGAAGGAAGGGCGCAACGCGTGGCCGTTTATTAGCGGTGATCGATATAATGCGATTCATTAAAATCATCCCAGTGTTCCGTCGCGCTTCGCGGGATAAAAAAGGAAGGGAGTAAGAGAAATCCGTCGCGGCTCGAATAATTTCCAACGATATCCCGCGAATTCACTTCTGGCATGCATTAAAATGCGAATCGCATAGGAATCGCTTCGTTGCGTCGTCGTTGTTATTCGCTAGTGTCGGTGTTATTGATTATCGCGTTCCCGCTCGGAAATTTGCTTGGTTGTCTAATTAAATATTTATCGGGTGGGGGTGTGTCTCGCGAAGGGATTTCGATGCGTGAATCGCGCGTCTTCCGCTGTCTCTGGTGTCCTCCGTTTTGTTTCGAAGCGACAACCTCGGTTTGCAGACGGTAGCAATATAGATTTCCTTAATGTTCGATTCTACTAACACTTTGTATTTGTGAGATGGCTCTCGATCGCTTCATTTAACATAGCACAATTATGAAGTCTCATATACAATAATATTAAGCTTTGAGTAATGTATAAATATGTGGAACATTAAAATAAAATAACTTTGTTTCTTAATTTACATATAATTTTTCTTTAGTTAGTGTCTCTAAAAATGTCGTCTGCATCTTATTAGAAAATACTAAACGTTTCCAGTGAAAAACTTGAGAGCGCCAAGGGTTAACCTCTGAACTGAATCGAAAGGAAATTCCAAATCCTCGGTGACATTAAAAGAAATTCGATCAAGGGATAAAATTGATGAAATAAAGGAAAAGCAACAAAGAATAATAGTCGAGATTTCGAAGCAATATTTTTCGCTCGGGAATTTTTCAGGGCGCGCGAGTGCTCCGGGACCTTATTGGAAACAGGAATGTAACAGGATAAAAGGCTGCGCGAGCGTAGGTAAGCTGTTCGAGAGATGATGAAAATAGTCGGCTTACCGTTGTGGAAGTAATAAGAAACGTCCATATATTCCTCGTCGGCGGGGCTATTCGTGGCCCGTCTCAGCACGACCGTCATATCTCTGCCATTAGACGAGTACCTTTTCGGCTCGGCGTACCTGGAAAAAAACAGAGAAGAAAAACGAAAGTAGAATCTCGTTTTACGCGGCCGCATCAACCGGCGAACGGTAATTCGAGTCCCGCGAACGCCGTGGAATTTCGTGCCGCCTCCTCGAGGGAAACAGCTCGTTCCCTCGAGGCAGGGTGTAAATCACACACCTGCTATCAGAAACGTCGTAAAGAACGCGGCTCCGTATCCATTCAGATATTGAGGAAGGACATTCGTCGGCTTCAGCGCAATCCGAGGACGTAAAATTCTAGAATGCGCCGCGCGGCAGCCTTCCGATAATATCGCACAGAAACTGTTCGATTCTAATTTTTAACGCTGATGATGCGAGAAAATGTTTGTTAGCGATAACGTAATGACAGAAGATGATGAAAATATGTACACGTGCTAAATATACGTATTATTCAGTGTACGGAAGAAAAATGGTAGCAATTGCAGAGACGTTTCGATTGATGATACAATTCTCTATTTCGATAATGATTCTATGAATTTCTAAGTAAACTATGTAAACCAATATTCGTCGTATTATTTTCTATCAGTTGCTACGACCAGAGTTTCATCGTCCCTCTATTTTAAAATTTAACACTAATAGTAGCTGATCCTAAAAGAGTTAAAAATCTTTCTCCTCGAGTACACTCAGCTCTCGGTGGCTCTATCCGGGTGAATAATAGACGACGTCAGAGAAACGTTCGTTCCGCGCACAGTTACGAGTAATAGAATTAGCTTCAATATATACTGTGAGTATTAGATTCTTTAAAATGTCTCGTCGTTTTATTCTTCAATATGGCGTTTATATTATAATACGCCTATAAATACAGCAAAAAGATAAACTGAATAGGCAAGAAAAACTTTTCAGATAAAATACGCAAAGCACAATTCAATGGAGCTTACTTGTAGTGCAATTTTTCTTGAAAGTTCTTTTGAAAATACGACGAGGCTTTTCGGCCAATATATTGACCTAATATATTGTATATCGAACAGAATTCGCGACGATTTAATGGGCGAAACGGACAAAGTAAAAGTGAAGTCACCCAGCCGCTACCTTCGCCAACCCCTTCTTTTCCTTTATCGGTAAGTCGAAGCGGTCGGGGGGAAGTTCCCCGTGAATTATGAAGCTGGCGCCTTTATGTCAAAGAGCAGGCCGTACCATACTTGACAAGCTTACGTGTGCGCACCAGGTCTCGAAGTTGGGCAAGTGGCGGGCACAAAGCGCGACGTAAATTTTCCACGTCGTTCACTTCCATTTTGCTCGACAGCGAAGTTGTAAATGGACGTCCTGGGAACGCTGTCTCGCGATAGCCCCCGCCTGAATCGAGTATGAGGACAGCGTACAGCGGACGAGTCAATGTTTGCCGGCTGGTTTTGTTTTCCGATAACGTCTTGCGATCCGCATCGGGATGGTTATTAATGGTCCGAATAAATTAGCGCGCCATTTTCGCCGAACGTGCGCGCTCGTAACGCCTCGGCCGCCATCTTGGACGATATATCGCCACAGGATACGTCGACGGGGAATTTAACACTGACAGTCCCGAGAATCGGTCAAATGATCGGATTTAAATTTCTGCGTTTTCAATCATTGATTTAACTTTATATCAATTCCTATATAGTACAATTAATCAATTTTTCAATTTTTGTCTTTATTCTCATTTTTATTTTCATTAAAAGAGATATATTATGCAACTAGTTTACTTTTATTTTTGTAATCACTTTTCTATGTAATTGATTTTTCGTGACGTTTTTTCTTTCATGTGCAAACTATGTACGTTTAAGTTAAGAAATAAATAAATGCCATTGATAAAATTAAAAAATGAAACAGTCATTTTATTACAACTTAATCCTATATTGTAACAGCCACACATACTTTGTGTTTCACAAGTATAATCGTTATCGTAACAGTAACTAGTTAAAGATGAGGTGAAAACGACAGTGCTATTGGCTATCAGTAAATGGTGTGGCATGGTACAATAAACTGATTTTTGGCAATCGATTGCAGATTTTTATGCACTTTGTACTCTTTTTAAATTATACTTATAAAGATCTTAGAAGTTGAATGAAGTCAAACTTACACAACATTTGATACACTTCGACATTATTTCGAGGCTGCTAAGAAAAGAAATTCGACTGAAAATTAACTGCATTGCGCATAATTACTCGTGACCCTTGCCAGGACCGACCTCGAGCGTTTATCCCGACGCTTTTTTGATTAGAAATTTGAGAAACTTTGTAATTACGAAACGGACTGCCCGTCGGAAACCGGTTAAGCTGCACAAATAACGAGAAAAATTTGAAATGAAATTTTTAACGCGTGCAGTTGTACGGCATTTGGCTCGAGCGAAGCCCTTCGGAGGTCGAACAGAATTTATGGCACGAGCTGATGTATATATTATATATGTATATATAAGTGTATATATATATATATATATATATATATATACACACACTTATATATGTACAAAACGAGCAAAGAATCGTTTGGAAAAAAGTGCGGCGAGCGTCGCGAATCGAGTTTCACGTGGGAAGAGAAAAGTTGCCCGCGCCGGGAACGGACGAACGAGAGGAAAGTTGAAAAGTTGAATATTTTTTTCATGAGTCGCGCGGTTTGATGTTGCGCCGTATAATGCTGAAACGAAACTCGATTCTGGTATCGAAGTGTTGCCACGTTGTTAGCGGCGGCGTTCTGAGGATCCAAAGTTCTGGCGAATGACATCATTATCGCGGTCTCGCCGCGAAATAACGTAATTTACGCGATACTTCACCAGTTAACACCAGAAGTTTTTCAAAAATAAGGTATATTCAATGAGACTTGTCGTATATTATTGGATTTTGCATTTCGGGGATGGCACGTCCGATTACTCACTGTGCCGCGCGTTATTAAAACTTTAAATCCGAACGGAGTTTCTATATAGCTAGCACGAGTCACTACATTCTTCTGGGGAGAACGAAATTCTTGGGAATGCAGGGAACGTTTTATTTAATGCAATAATTAATAAATCGTGAAACTTTATCCATTCGTTGCATACAAATATGGAAAGGTTACAACTGAACAAAAATTATATTTTCGTTAATGAATTTTGAAAATATAAAATTACAGTATTTAATACTTTTTCGTTTTACGTTCAACTGCAACCATTTATGAAAGAAATCAAATTTCTCTTAATATCAGTTTCTTTCAACGTGTCTGTGAACGTGTCAATTCACGGTAAATTCCAGCAGTCGCTGGATGGTACGCAGTAATTGGATTTTGAAAAGAATTTCAGTGATTTTGAAATCTGGGATTATTCGTTCGGTAATTTTCGGTTAAAGTGTTCTATTTGATCGAATTCCGGATTATTTCGATTCTTTCAGTGATTCGAGGGACGCCATTACAGAGTAAGGAACATCATGGTTATGTTTTGGTAGGGGAGCCTCCGAGACGAAAGATCAAGCGACCCAGTTGGCGCGTCCTCAACTTTCATTCGGGGATTTTGGATATGCAGACGTCACGTGGGTACGAACCATGTGTACTTTTCCTGTGCAAACCGGGTCGGACAGGAAGAACACAGTGAGTCAGACCTTCCGGATGCCTTACTGTTAGTTCAGGTTTGTCGAACGCATATCGTAACTGGCACGTTATGAACGTGATTTTAACACATGGCTCGCGGAGAATGAGTTTTATCATGATTTAAAACAACGCCACCGTTCCATTGCTGTATATTTATCGTTTCACGAATTCATTCGAAAATATAGAATTACTGTAGAAATTCGGTTCACTGGCTGCAACGGTTAAAAACTAGATGCAGAATTATTGAAATTACTCATTCCAAAATATACAAGATATTTCAAACCCATTGGTTGGCTATTCATGGAATATATCAACGAAACTTCGCGCACCAAATATTCCGCTGAAACTCACAATCAGTAACCTCCAGTTTTCATAATTTAATTCTTGTAGTTTACAATTCCAATTGAAATTCGTTACGCCGAGAAAATTCGGAACTTTCAATGCCACGGGGTTCAAAATAAAATAAAACAGAATACCATTGTGTACTGCATAATAATTACATAATAACGTTTCAAATTGTACAAAAACAACAAACAAAGCGAATTACAAAACTGTTCAAAATTCAAACTCACCAATGAAAACAACTTCATATTCTTATCACACGCCCCATAAAAAAAACCCTCAGCGTCTCTATGATCGTCAACGCTATCGCGGTTTTCGAATTCTGCCGGTTAATGAGCTATGAATGAACGCCAAGGTAAATCGTTCTAATTCGAATCGGAAACAGGATCGAGCAAATCACGGCGTAATCTGGCGCATAAAGCTGTTTCAATCGCGCCTACGGTGATCAGCTGTTCCGATCAATTATTATCGCCCTATGAACTGGAAATTATTACTCGGACTCGCCTGGGGTCAGCTTGAGGACTGTTTGCCGTCCGAAGAGCGCACGGGTTCCATTGTAAACGAACGTAATCGTCGTATACAAAACGTACTCGGTGTCGTTGATTTATTTCCACCGAGGAACCAGACCGGGTTCGATCGGGTACGATCCCGTCGCTGACAGAGTTGATCGGTGCCGGTTCATTAGCCGGTTCTCCGACGGACAGGGGTGGCTTTTAGTTGGGCGCGATATGCGCGGCGATTAAATTACCCGATGGTCAGTCCACCCCCCTTTCCTACCCCTTTCGGACTGTCCCGCAGACACATCCTGTCCGGTGTCCCACTCACCGGATTGATCTTCGATGTATTTCGTCCACGCATGGACAGGGATTAAACAGGCCGTGATATACACTGCTCAAGCGGATAATACCGAAACTCGAGGGCTTTTTATCCTCTTGTTCGCTGGAACAATGAATCACCGCGTCGGTGTCGTTGTTGTTATGCATTTACCGTTTCGCGTGGACTCGGAAAATTTTCTTCGAGAAAAATGTTCTTGGCTAATGGACTCTTAATAGGTTCTCTGTTCGGTCGTTTTTATGGAACTTTCGATTCATGCGAAATAATGTTGGAAT